AAAATTAAGTATAATAATACCAGTAAATATTACAAAACAGAAAATATTGAAAAACAAGGACAATATAAAAATAACAAAATATAATTTTTAACAACATAAAATGGAAAAAATTGTAGAAAAAAATTGCATAACTCAAAAACAAAACAAAACTTCATCCTCAAAATACGATCACATTTTTTATATTACTTTAATTTATATTAATTATTTTAATAAACCGCTTGGTTCCATACTTTATATTCACCTTGTATAATTATTGATCCATAATTTAATGAACTATCCGTTCCAGAGGGAATGCATTTCCGTCCACATTGGGCAAGCCGGTGTCCAGATCGGCAACGCCTGTTGGGAACTCTACTGTCTGGAACACGGGATCCAACCCGATGGTCAAATGCCCTCCGATAAGACCATCGGGGGTGGAGACGACTCCTTCAACACGTTTTTCAGCGAAACGGGGGCCGGAAAACACGTCCCAAGGGCCGTTTTCGTCGACTTGGAACCCACCGTTGTCGGTGAGTAATTACATTAAAAAGTTTTATTTTCCGGTGTAATAATCGCGACAAAAGTACAGTTAAAATTGCGGTAAGTTTATGAAAGAAATTCTCCGACTTGTGAACATTAAATTCTTGATTACTTGAAGATATTTGAAACAGTTAAACTACACCAAGAATTTATTGATGGATTTGTGTTTTATGAATTTATACAAATGTCAGATTAGTAATTCCGATTGATTTGTTAGAAATAATAGGAAATCAATCTCATTTTAGAGTCATTGACGTAAAATGCAATTTTTTTTCGGATTAAACGTCCTTTAAAACCACGGAAATTTATTGCAGCAATAAAATATTAACCGGAACATTGGAAAAGTAGTAAAATGGGCGAATATATTAGCATACATAGTTTTTAATCGTAAAGTCTGGCATAAAATTATATTGCTTTTACGTGCTTATACACAGAATTTACCTAAATTGTAAACAATGCAATGCTCTCTTTTAAAATCAAAATAAATTAAATCGGGTTGAAAATGGGTTTTCTAAACGTAAAATCGCATGAGACTTACGATTTCCTGTGTTAAAATCTTCTATAAAAACTTGTTTTCGAGTTATTAGACGATATTTGCTTGATTTCCAAGTAAATTATAAAAATTTCTACTCAAATAATTATTTGAGTCGAAAATTTTCGGAAATCAACAATTTTTTATACAAATTCATCCGAAAAGTCACAATTCGTTATTATTTTATTATATATAATTATCACAATTAATCTGAAACTGGATTTTCTACACCTAAAATCGAATAAGAATTACTATTTCGTATGTTAAAATCTTCTATAAAAAGTGGTTTTTGAGTTGAAAGAATTAGTTAAAAAAAAAAAGAAAAAATTTGATACGATTCAATAATTGAAGTTTTTTGGTTTGCTCCCAAAAATAGCTACTTTACGGATTCATTTAAGTCGGATTCAATAAAATAGTACGTAAAATAGTCATTTTAGCTATTTTATTGGGTCCGAAACTGAATCATTTTAGGGATTTCAATGAGTCCGTAAAATAGCTATTTTTGGGAGCTATACTTACAAAAAAATAACTATTTTCGCGTTCCTAAAGGTCCGAAACTGAGGTTTCTAGACAAAAAAACGCAAATTAAAATCTTCGACGGCAAATAGTTTTCGAGTCAAAATTTGGAGGAGACTAAGATCATTTTTTGATTTGAAAATTTCACCAGATCTGGTGATTTTCATGCTAGTCTGGTGTTTTGTAAAAAATTTTATATCTGGTGATTTTTTGAAAATGGAAAAAACTGTTTTTCTAGTATTTTCCACGTTTTCAACCAGAAACTTCATTATTTCGTCAATTTTTTTTTCAAAAAAGTCGAAAAACCAAATTAGTTAAAAAATTATTTTGTTCGTTTTTTACAAGATTTTACTGAACAGGATTGAAAATGACGGTTTAGTTTTGTCTTTTCGAATACTTTTTCAGCTAGAAATACAATTATTTCGCAAAATTTCGTTAAAACCAATCCAAAAATTCACAAATTCGACCAAAAACGGCGTTACTTTTGCTCTTTTCAAGTGTTTAAGCACGTTTTTGAAATAAAAACAAAAAAATTCTAAAACTTTCTGTTGAAGCAGGCAAAAAAATTACAAAATTAAATCGAAATTGATATTATTTTTAGACTAACTTCGTTTTGGAACCAGAGGATCATTTATTTTGCAAAATCTTGTCCAAACACGTTTAAAAATCACAAAAACAATTGATATTGATGTTATTTTGTTTGATTCACTCAATTTAACTGTTTTTTTTGAGCAAAATAAGACAAAAATGAGCTGAGAAACCACAAAATTTGTCCGAAAATGATTTTAAGTGCGTTTTTGTACTAAAATCTCAGGTTTTTGACTAGATTCCGCTAAAACAATAGAAAATAAAGAAATTACGTCCAGAATTACATTATTTTTGCATTTCTAGAGCATTTTAACGTTTTTTATAGCGTTTTTCAGCTAGAAACGCAATTATTTCGCAAGATTTTGGTCAAAACAAGCCGGAATTAAGCCGAAATGCATGTCATTTTTAGTTTTTCTAAAGTTTAAGCGGATTTTTAAGCTCAAAACTGCGATTTTTTGTGAGATATAGTCATACAAACCGTAATCTGGTGAAAATTTGTCGAATTTTTCAACTCGGAAATGGTGAATTTTTTGTTTTTGATCTAGCAACACTGAAATCAACTGTTTCTTATGTAAATTCGTTCAAGGGACCCAAATCCCTCATTGGTTTTTACATAAACTCTGCGTAATTTAACAAAAAAACAAAATTTAAAGATTCAGAAACAAATAGGTAAAACGATATTCCTATAATTATTTCGAGCTCGCAATCTGTATTATCAAATTACATCAATATTCCAGTCATGTGAAGAATTTAAAAAGTTATTAACGACTGTGATTAATAACAAAAAAAAACTTCCTTTCACAATGTGCAAAAAAGTTGACCTTTCTGGGCCCGAATGCACATCCAGTTCGAGAATTTTCGTGTAGGCAAACTGCATTTTCCGCTCAACAGTGCACAACAAAATTGCATTTTCATAGCGCAACACTCATAAATCAATTGTTCTAGACAGAATTGTACTCAAATCATAAATTCCATGCTCAATGATTACAAAAAAAATTCGTTTTTTTTCTAGACGAAGTCCGGACCGGTACATACCGCCAACTCTTTCATCCGGAACAACTAATAACCGGAAAAGAAGATGCAGCCAATAATTACGCACGTGGTCATTACACCATTGGAAAAGAAATCGTGGATGTCGTCTTGGACCGCATCCGGAAGCTCGCCGACCAATGCACCGGATTGCAAGTAATGTCAACATTACTGACCCCGACATATACAGGGTGTCCTCGAGCTCCGTATTTCTTCGATTACTTTGACAGTAAAGAAGATAACGAAATGTTTTTTTTTTGTGGACGATAGACATTCATTTTTTCTATGGTCCAAAAATATTTTCGTCATTAGAGGTAATTTCTATATAGGGTGGCGCAACAAAGTTATATTTTCTCTTATGGAACACCCGGTATATTATGCGCTTATTTGGAAGAGTTTTTAATTCTAACAATATCCATATTAGGTTTTATGTGTCTATCATGGACCGTTTATCATTTATGAAAAAAAGTAGCATTTTTGAAAAATCAAAAATAAATTTTTGCTCGTAATCGGCGAACACCCTGAATAAAAAAAAAAAGAATAAAAAAGACAGTTACTGTTAGAGTGAAGTGTTTTTTTGTCAATAAATTTGAAACTGATTTTTTAGACGTAAAATCGCATCAGACTTACGATTTCCTGTGTTAAAAATCTTCTATAAAAACTTGTTTTCGAGTTATTAGACGATATTTGCTTGATTTTCAACCACTTATAATTATAAAAATTTCTACTCAAATAATTATTTGAGTCGAAATTTTTCGGAAATCAACGATTTTTTATYCAAATTCATCCGGAAAGTCACAATCCGTTATTATTCCTTATCTAGGACAGTTCTTACTTAATTGAAAGAATTAATTTTGAAAAAAAAAATATTTGATACGATTCAATAATTTTTTCACATTTCTTAAGGTCCCAGTGGGTTTTCTAGACGTAAAATCGCTTGAGAATTAAGATTT